CGCTCTTGTGAGCGTAGTAGTAAGGTGCGATTTCGAATGCACCATGTGCGTTGGATGTTTTGCATTATTATTATTACCGTTAAAATGTCGGCATCTGATCCTACACAAAGGAGTGCAATTTCTGTTGCTACTATTTTGTATTCTGTGGTTTTACATTTTTTTTCCAAACAATTTAATTTTTACACCTTTTTTTCCAAACAATTTAATTTTTACACCTTTTTTTCCAGCCTGAAACAAATAGAAGCTGAGACTGCACGTCGCGAGGACTTCATCAAGGAAGCCGCGAAGCCTCTCGCGCGTATGAAGGGAGACAGAGACCTCGAGAGAAGTCTCAAGGAGATTGAGCGAGACGGAGACCCCATGCTCGCTTACATCAGGGACAAGAAGAGAGAGAGGGGAGATCTTGGACCAGGTAAATGTGCCAAAAAAATCCTCATAAGAAGATCGATTCTTCTTTTGATTAATTTAGTTGTGGGTCCAATGACAGCTTAACTTTTCTCTGGGAATAAACTTGACCTTCACTGGTTGGGTTTTTATTGCGAAGCTGTAGATCCTGGCTACACAGGAGATGCAGCGGTGGGAACGAAAGATGGAAATTGTCTGGTAATGAAAAAGATACTGTAATGTATTTTTATGACGACTGCATAGACTTTAATCAGCGCACTCTGATAACAGCACATTTGGTAGCGTGAAATCACTTATCGTTTTCATTTGTATTTGTATTTTGTCTAAAACTGAGCTGACTTATATCGACAAACCGTCTTACTGCGAACTTAATTAGCAAATATTTACTACTTCTTAATTAAATACTTTTTTGTTCACAGAAAAACCCACATACAAAGGTAGCTTCCCTCCGAACCGTTTCAATATTCGTCCAGGCTACCGCTGGGACGGCGTCGACCGCTCCAACGGCTACGAAAAGAAGTTCTTTGAAAACCAAAGCAAGAGGAAAGCTCAGGAAGAAGAAGCTTACAAATGGAGTACCGAAGACTTGTAATGATTCATCAGCAGGTCATTTAGTCTCCACTCCAGGAGCACGACTCTAATTTAGAAGCAAATGGAAAGCAAAGCTGAAGGGTCAATGGACAGGGCACATAGTACGCAGAACTGACGGCTGATGGGGCAGCAAGGTTCTGGAGTGGAGGCCGCGTACCTGAAAACGCAGCGTGGG